TCCTCGGAAGAGCGGGGGGTGGGATGGAGAGGTGGGAGGGTCCCGCGCGTGGCAGGGGTCCTCTTGCAGAGGGGCCTGGGAGGGGGCGGGTTCTGCGCAGGGGGGCAGGGGGGTGTTCTCCGGTGGGGGAGCCAACGCCCGCGGGTCGGACTGCTGGCTAGACCCCGCGCCCTCGTGCCGTCGGTGCTGCGCTCCCGCCCGCGGTGTCCTCCTAACTCCGGCCAGATTGAACTTCTAGGGACGGGACAACCTCTGCCTGAGCACCGCAGCATCTGCTGGTCGGGGTAACCCGTTTACGCGTGACACCGAGAAAGGGCGGGCTTCCTGGACGACGAAGGTGCGCGGCCCGCGGGAGTGGGAACAAGCATCCCGGGGTCGGGTGCTCGCCCCGCCCGCCTCCCGTCAGCAAGCCGGTCGCAGAAGAACGCGGATGCCAGTCGGAGCAGATCCGGTATCTCTTAGTCCGTAGCGCTGCACCGTCCCGGGTCCGGTGAAAGGACTTGCGAGGCAGGGGCCCGGCGCCGCGCGGGGAGGGCGCGGAGAAGGGTGTCCCTGCGCCGGGACAGAGCCCCGCTGCCCAGCACGCACCTCCTCCAGCCGCAGAACACACCTCGCTCTTTCTTTAAAAGCCCTACGTGCAAAGCAGCCAAACATTTCCTGACCTCGCCAGGCTGAGGCAGAAGTGATAGAACGAAGCGAGGCAGATTTTCATCAGAATGCCATCCTGTGGCGCCTGGAACCTTCCCGCGCCCACTCCTGCGACCCGGCGTCCAGGCAGCCCTGGCCAACTCCTGCCCAAGCCCACGCCCGGGGCGCACGTTTTCAGAGGCCTTTCTCAGAAAGACCACCTCCCCGCCTCAAAACGAGAACTTGCAACAGAATGGCTTGGCCTGCTTCTCTGCAGAGGCGGCTCCAGAGTCTTGAGACCACAAATTCACATTTAAGTGTTACAATCCCCCAGTTTCCCACTCTCTGCCACCCGAACCTAATTCTCGGTAACATGTCAGCGCACGACCTGCGTGCACACACCTTACCGCTCTGGCTTCAGGAAAAGGGGCTCTGGAATGAAAGGGCTGTGTGAGGGGGTGGGCGGGGAGGTTGGGGTGGAAGATTGGGCGGGCAGAGGAGGTTCTGAGGGACAGGAGGTCCCGACCTGGGAGGAAAAGAGGCCGAGTCAAGACCCAGAGGGGCTGCTGTGGGAGAAACTTAGCAGATTTCAGCCTTGATGAAGGCGAACACAGCGCCAAGCTGTGACGGAGAGCAGTGTTAGGTTCACAAGAATAACTTTCAGGGAGATTGAAATGCACACTTTTAATACCTTGTTTTCTTGCTGTAACACTTTAAAAATGTTAGTGTGTTACAGTTCTCGAGTCTATAAAGTTAAGAGAATTGGAGAAGACATTAAGCTGTTCTGTATAAACAATTTAGGGTCTTAGGGAATCTATCCCGGAAAACAATGATAATTCTAGTCATAGCTTCAGAGATGAGAATGGTAGCCAGTTAATACAACAGCCTTCTTGGAGCCTTCGGTTTGAATGTTCCAATCTAGATAAGCAAATTCTAGAGCTTCCTGCCACCTCAAACCCTATGACCGCATCTTCCAGAGCAGGGCACAGGGGACAGGCTTCACTTGTCTTGACTGTCACAGGGCAACGTGCCTGCAGACACCTGCATCCTCCCCAATGCCCAGGTGGACATCCAGTTGCCAGTTATCAGCTTTATGAAAACCACATAGGGAAGGTGTCAGGTGGGCTCTGGAATTAAACCATCTGGTTCAGTTACTGGCAGCATGAAGGAAGCTGAGCAACAACAGGTTAAAATGGCTGAGAAGTGGGAGAGATGGTGGTAGCCCCAGAGAAGGCAACAACCCACAGCCCCCACGACAGCTGTGAGAGGGGTCCGCTGCAGATGCCAGGATGGCAGGACACTGTCACCCCCTAAATTTAGTCCCGGGAACAAAGGAACAACACCAGCGATAAAATAATCATGGTAAGTGCACCAGAGGTTTCTGATTCCACTAAGAAGCAGCAAACCAGAGAAAACCGCCACCATGACACCCTGCAAGCTGGGAGGCTGCTGTGTCCTGACATGTGCCCTCCTGTGAGGCGGTCAAGTCTCAGACCCTTCCCAGCTGTAGGGCAAGGATCAGTCTGTGTTGTAAACCGTGCTGAATTCACACTTCTTGGTATTGTTTAGACCCCGGGGCCCCAGAACAGATTGTAGAGGGTCTAGCTGCCTTCTGTTCATTTTGATATAAGTAGCTCTCTCGTGAAAAGGGCCCCCCATGAAGCCCCTTCCCAGGCAGCCCCTCCTTTTTGTAAACTCAGCAAGGCCATGTGTGAGGGTAATTACTGAGTGCCTGGAACCTACAAAGTTGATGCTGGGAAAGTCCACGCAGAAGCCAAAGAAAGGGGTGTGGCTGTGAAAGTAACACGTTGTAGAATGAGGACCATGGATGTGCACAAAAATTCCACCCAGTACTCACAGCTCTACACTCAGCCTGGCAGAGTAATCTAAACCCTCTACCTTGAGGAAGAGAAAGCCAAAACCACCTGAGTGTGTGAGGGGAGAAGAAACAAGACTAGCCCAGGTTTCCATCCTCAGGGAGGCTGGCAGAGGAGATCCAGGGCGTCTTTGAATTGTCTGAGCAGCATAGGGGGTGGGGAGCAAGGTGGGGAAGAGGGTGGCCAACCATCCGGCCTGTGCCCGTGTCAGACCAGCGTCTTTGTATGAAGAGCTGTGAGGTCAGTGGCACAGGTTCAGTGATCCCTTCCTTTGGTCAGCATGCCACTTCTAGCAGGCTGACTCTGTCATAGGGAAGAACAAATCTGACTCCATTTCAGATCTGCTCCTTCAGCTCTAACCCTGCGCTCTGTTTCCTGGGCTCAGTCCTGCTGGTTCTGCACCTTTTGCAAAAGATTGTTGCCTAGAGCCTGAAACACACAGAATAGCCTGTTCTCAATGCTCTGACCTTTAAGGGTAGAACACTTTTTCATTCACAGAGAGACAGAAAGTTGCAGAGCAGAGAATAACACTGGTCACGTTGGAGGTTTACAGGAACATCATGACAGCTGCAAATACAAAGGATTCCAACACCAACAAGTTTGCAACAACCAACCACACCCCCTCCCCTTACAGCATAAAAGGAGACTGAATTCTGACTTGGGGAAGATGGTTCTCCAGGACACCAGTCCCCCATCTTCTCGGTCTGCTGACTTTCCAAATAAAGTCGTTATCCCTTGCCCCAGCATCTCATCTCCCAATTTATTGGCCTGTCGTGTGGCAAGTAGAACTAGTTTGGACTCAGAAACAACTCTGCATTTTTAGCCCCATCCAAGGTGCCACACAGGCACTGACCTGCAAGCACACGGTCACTGTTTAAACCCAGGGACTCTGTCCTAAGAAGGACTTTAGGTTATGCGAAAGCTCCGACTGTTCCTGACATTCCTAAAAGCCATAATGCTTGGGATCCTCTTGACAAAAGTGTAATGTCCGAAAACTCAAAAGCAGTTCTCCGATGTACAATAAGAGTACAAGCAGGAACTTAATTTCTGAAGGAACTCCTAGAAAAGCACAAAAGTAGAATGATCTAATTTTGTTCTAGGAACATCAGACTCACAGCTAACCAGCAAACGCCAGAACATTTAACCACTTTGGGGCCACACCCAAACTCGGTTTACTGGTCTCCATGGTGTTGGTCTGTTGCTAGGTTCGTCAGCTCCGCCTCCTAATGTGGTTGGGTTCTAAGTAAGACAAACCCTTCCAGGGATGGAGCACAGAGCAGAGGGCAGATGGGGAGGGCAGGGTGCATCTTGGCCACCCCACGGAACTGGTCAGATAGCTCACACAAAACCATTTTCCCAAATTGCAGGCATCACAGCTGTTTTGCATGAACGTGAATCACGGGTCAGGTTGATTACAGCAGAATAAACGTCTCTGCATTACTTCTACAAACAGTGAGCTTACATTTGTGTTATTACTTTGTATGAATCCTTTTGACTAATATAAAAAAACACTTCGTATATTAAAGCTGGTTCATGAAGTGATTACCCAGATTTGCACAGCACCTTTCAGTTTACAAAGCATTTTGTTACAGACACACCTCAGAGATGCTGCTGGTTTGGTTCCAGACCACCTCAATAAAGTGAATATCACAATTAAGACAGTCACACACATTTTTTGGTTTTCGGGTGCATATAAAAGTTATGTTTACTCTATTCTGTAGTCTATTAAGTGTAAGAGCATTATGTCTAAAAAATCATGTACATAGCTTAACCTAAAAATGCTTTATTGCTAAAAAAAAGTGCTGATCATCATCGGAGCCTTCAGCAAGTCACAATCTTTTTGCTGGAGGAGGGTCCTACCTCTGTCTTGGTAGCTACTGACAGATCGGGCTGCTGGCTGCTGAAGGCTGGAGTGGCTGTGGCAATTTCTTAAAACAAGATGACAGGGAAGTTTGCCACACTGATTGAGTCTTCCTTTCACAAACCATTTCCCTGCAGCATGCCACACTGCTGGAAAGCATTCTACCCACAGTACAACTGCTTTCAAAACCGGAGTCAGTCCTCTCAGACCCTGCTGCTGCTTTATCAGCTAAGTTTATGGAATATTCCTAGTCCTGTGCTGTCATTTCATCAGTCTTCATAGCATCTTCACCAGGAGTAGATTCCATCTCGAGAAACCACT